TTATACATTCAATAGGCAGTTTTCAAGAATGCCAATGCCCAGAATTCAGTCAGAGATTCTTAGTTCATTAGTCTGGAACTTAGGCATCAGTCCTCCCTCCCCAACCCCCAACCACCAACCCCCAACCCCAAAGCTCCCTGGAAAGTTTCAATGTGCAGTCAGGACTGACAACCACTGGCTTAAGAAATGAAGGAGCTGCTTATTTGACAAGGATCCAGTAGAGAATTCAGAGAAAGCCTGACAAAGTCAATAAGGAAGGCTTTATTTGACGAGTGACAGGCCCTGACCCTGAACACACTTCAGCCTAGGAGAAAGGCATCAATCAGTCTCATCTGGGAAAATGAATCCTAATGTCAAACAGGCCTGTATTTTCACAAGTATATGATGTAGCGTCCTTTTAGAAATCAGAGTATGAGAAAAGGTAAAGGGGAGGGGGAGGATCACTGTGAGCTTGAAGAGTAAGTGTCAGGGAAAACTAAGTTTAAAGAGCAAGCCACATGGCCATGACTTGCACAGTGGGCATCACAGAAGTCAGACGATGCCCTGTTGGAGGCAACTGCCAGAGTGTCAGTGTGATTTTGAGAGTGGAGACAGAAATCACTCCACCCTGCACATTCACAGCCTTACTTATGTAAGTGGTAGGCCTCAGAAACACCTTTCCTTAAGAGGCTCTGACAAAGAAGTAGAAGTTGCTTCTGATGAGAACTAATATTTTAATACAGAAGGGCTCCCATAACACTGAGAAACCCCTGACTCAGAAGAAAGAGATTAGAATCAAGGGAAAAGGCCCTGAATTACATATAATTACAAAAATTCCTTGACATCATGGAAAGGGGCAGGCATACTCTACACATGACACCAGGGCCTGGCAGAGCCACCTCAGAACTGCAGAGCTCTGCTAACAACCTTGTTCATATCTCCTTCAGGTTTCATCACTTAGTTGTGTCTTGGTCTCAGCCTGTGGCTGCTAGTGGCTTACAGTATCCTTTCTGTCCTAAACACAATCAGATTCATACAGGAAAACCTTTCCTCACAGGGTAATAGAGGCATATTTTGTTTCTCACAAGGCAGGAACAGATAAGTAAGAACATGTAGGTTCCACAGTTTAAGAAAAAAACAAAAACCACCCCCAAAATTGTCAAAAAGTCAAAAGTATTTGGATTGCAAATTAATAACTGCTTCACTGCAGAAAAGTTGCAAGGCAATGGAGAATGGGATGAACAGGAAACCATACCTCAAATAAAACAGCTCTGTGGTGACCCAATGAGATGGGGGATTTAGGAGTGGGAACAGCTGGGGAAGCCACAGCCAGAGAAAAGCTTCATGAAGGACAAGGAGGAAGGACTGACAGCTAAGTCTGGGCTCAGCTGATGCAAGACACTGATGCAGTGAGGGTTTTGTCCTCTGTATTGGGCAGGATGGGCAAGTGAGGAGAGGAGAGTTGTGGGTAGAGAAGAGGCCAGGAAGGAAGTGAAAAAACCAGGTACACTGGAGTTCCTTCCTCACTTTCCTAAGCAGCCATGCTGCCCGAGTGGTCCTGCCCATCAGAACTCCACCAGTCACAGCCTTAGCCATGCTGGTGCTGTGGGGCCTGAGAAGGACATCCTGGAGGATGTCTACCCACACAGAGGCCTGGTAGTGTTAGAAGAGGAGCCAAGAGACAAAGTCAAGGCACAGCCCCTGGCGTCCAAGCCTCTGAAAAAGTCAGAGGGCACCTGCTGTGCCGGCTGAAGATGGTAAGTGTTTTTCTCCTTGAAGAGGAGTATCAGACAGGAACGCAATTATCTCTAACACACATAATGAAGAACCACCCACAGACCCCAAAGCCCCTGTGAAAGAGGCAATACTACCTATCAGTGATTAAGATCAACCACTTAGTAAAGTAGTTTACTGGTAGCCTCAGAAAATAAGTTCAAAAAAACTGAAAAACAAAAAAACCCACAAAAAACTGCTCATGGAGTTTTTAGAGCTGATGCAGTATTAGTACCTTCACAGAACGATAATCCAAATACTTACTTGTCTGTTGCTGAGATCTATTTACAAACATTAAAAGTGTACTATTGAGAAAAAGATGTAACAACATGATTCACTAATACATTCTTTCTAACTATAAAATTCAGCATTTTCCGTTAACTTACTTGTCCAAAGAAACCTTTGCCTATCAAGGAGTCAATTTCATAATGATCCATCCACTTGTCTCTGTGTTTTACAATATAACCATGGTTATCATCATCATAACCATCATTATAACCTTCTGTTCCTTCTTAGGACTGGAATCATCTCCCTGGCCCTGTTGGTCTCTTCACTTCTTTTTTGCATAGTAAACCTGAACTGAGAATACACAGTGTTAAGTGTGTCATTAAAATCACTGGGGGGGGGGCACACACACCATATATCAAGAGTATATATGAGACAAATCTGCTATTGGTAGGAAATAGATGGAATTTTTATTCTTTAACACAGACACACACACACACAAATGAAATAAACAATTTTCTATAGTTGCTATTTGATTTACAGAATAACACTAATATATAACCAGGGGAAATTTCTGCAGTAAAATTCCCTTTAGAATTATACAGTTTATACATTTTATAAATAGA